ATTATGCCTTTGCATGAACAAAGGACTATCAAGTCTATTACATCACAAGCCTTGTCTTTTTTAAAATGATGATCAGAGGAGTATCCCTTGCTGGGTTGGAATATGCAAAGGTATGTCAGCAAATTGTAGGGTTTAACTGGCATTCTACATCTGGGAAATTGCTGCCTTATTTGCAATCTGGTTGTTGGGATATTTAAATATTCGAGTATTATAAGGCTCAGAAATCATTAGAAGGTAGAACAATATTCAGACAAGGAAGAAATGTACATGGTTTTAAACTTGTCCATCATAACTTTATTCCTAATTTTAAATCCATGAGAGAAAAGGTTAGATAGAAAAGAGACAGTCTATTAGAGGAAGGGCATGTCAACCTGGACCATTGATGTAGTTGCAGATTAGAGGTTTTGGCAGAGGAATAGTTTGCCCATCTTCCTTTTTGCCAAGCAGCATTACTCAGAACTAGGAAATAAGAAAGTTAGAAGTGCTTGATATAGTATACATGTGTTTTTCATTTTAAAAATAAATCAGAGAAAAGTTATACAATGTCTAAAAACTTCAAGAATTATGTTATCTTTTAAACTTTTTAAAAAAAATAGGAACTGCTATAGGGAAGCACTTAGAAACGAATCATGATTAGGCAGAAACGTTTAGACTTGTTCCAAATTTATTCTAGGACACAGAGAACTGATATAGAATTGGACAAGTTGTCTGGCAGATGGTTTGGAAACCAAATGCTCCTTAGAAAAATGTTTTGCCAGACTAGAATTGTAATCATATTCTTGTTTAAAGCAAATGCACTTTGATTTTTCTCCTGGCAAATTATAACATGTTTTTTAAAAAAGTATTAGGTTTATGTAAGTTTTCAATCTACCAAGCAATCCAGTTATTCAAACGGAAACAATGGTATGGTACAAATTTATCTTTATACCTTCTATGACTACAGGTTGAGATGAAGTTAATTTGAGACCGTGAAAGTAGAATTCAAACCCTTAACCAAATTACTCATGGCGGTCAGTGTCCCCAAGTGCGGAATCATGGTTCTGCATGGCTGAAGAAAAGACAGAGGGGATTGATTGGAAGATAGAAGGGACATTAGTCATAATTATTGATTCTTTCAATATCTGGGTTTGCGGTGGACACCTGGAGACTGTCCTGAAGGACTGCAGAGAAGTGGTGAAGGGTACTCTGGTCTCTCTGTTCATTTGATCCGAATACCAGCAAGGTCCCAATGCAGGTCAAGCTTGCAGCATACAAGACCTGTGTGCAATCCTCCTTTATGGATCTGAGCTCCTAGGGATGCAGCAAAGGGATTTCTCCTAGTCCATTTGCAAAGTCCAAGATCAAGCGGTAAGGTGGATTGTGGCAAACATGGGAAGCAGCAGCAGGGAAGGAAGGCTTCAGCTTACAATGACCTGTCGCTAAGAACACTGACACCAACGGTTTACTTTCAAATCACAGCGGTCACGTCTATTTGCCAAGGCTAATCACATGAGGATCTGGATTAAGGCGCAGGTGTTGAGTAAACCTGGGAGACGGCAGGGCTAGGACCTTGAGAACAAAGTGCCTGGCATGTTGCAAACTGTCCTGTAAAGGTCCTTCCACTATGTTGAAGAAAAATGTCTGTCAGATAGCTGATAAGAAAACTCAGGCTTGTAGCAACAGCTACTGGAAAGCATCATCTGGTGTCTGAGTTCTTGAACACGCATTTGTGCATCCAGCACTTGAAATCCACCATGATTGTTTTGCAGAGTGCTAAGTAGCTAATGCTTAAAAGCCCTCATTTGGCCCTACATTCCCCAGTGGATCAAATTAAAAATTCTGGTCTACACTTTCAAAAACTTCCAATGGCTTCATCCCATCCTACCTCTGCGACCCACTGGCTACTCCCTCCACTAATATTGGCCTGCTTCACGTTCTCTCTTCCATCACCATCGATGGGTGAGTCTTTAGGCGCTCTGTCCCCGCTCTCTGAAATTCTATCCCAGAGCCCTCTTGCCTTCAAAACCCACCTTCACACCCACTCTTTCACTGTGCTTTCTCCTCACCTCTCCCTCCCCTCAAACCTCCACAACTACCTCTAACTTGAAGTCAGAGCTCAGAGAGATTCTCCCAGTGTGAAAGCCATTTACATATCAATGTAAATTGTTGTAGTACAGTAGTAGTACTAGATTCAAATATTTACTTTCAAGAGACTAGTTCAGACGAAAAGAAGGTTCTTCAGTTCATTTGATCTGACACTTCCAGAATATCAATCATAGCTTCTCTCAAGTATGCTTTTTTTCATTGTCATCTAAGGAAATTTGAAAGTATAAATGTTAACTGTTGTTACCATCACTAATGATCTGACCGCTTGCCTGTCAGACATCAAAGTCTGGATAAGCCACAATTTCTACAACTAAATGTGGACAAGAGAGAAGCCATCTTCCTTGGCTCCTGCTAATGTCTGAACTTCTCTAACCTCCTCAGTTCTCCTTTCTCCCTCCCGTACAGTCTCTGACCAAGACTGCTTTTCTTCACTCCACTGCAGTGGAGTGAAATGCCGCTGAAATCTGCTTGCTAAGTTATTTAATTATGTTCTAAGATGGCCGGACATGAAATTTCGTGATTGTGAGTTGATGAACAAAGCAGGTAAACCGTTGGTGTCATGGCAAAGAGCAACCAGCATCCAACCACGTTCTGAATGGAGAGCAGGGGCAGGTCTGCTGCCCCTCCCGAAAACAAAATAAAGAGAAGAATGTAAACTGAATGGTGGTAAACATTTGTTAAAAAGACAACTTGGATTTATATAGCGCCTTCCAGTTTTCGCCTTCGAGCCAGGGGATGGGGAGGTGACCAAAGGCGCAGTCGAAGAGAAAGGTCTTCAGCAGAGACCTGAAAATAGGATAGGAAGGGAGGGAGCAAGGTGAAGGGAGTGAGGAAGGGAGTTCCAGAGCCTTGGGGCACAGTGGCTGAAGGCACGGCTGCCAAGGGTGGAGTGGAGGACTCGGGGGATGAGGAGGAGGCCAGAACCAGAGGAACAAAGGCAACGGGTATTGTTTTGAGGAGAGAGGACAGAGGTACGAGGATGCAGAGGAGTGGAGGGATTTGAATACAAGGGTGAGGATCTTGGAAGTCGATCCTCTCTGGAACAGGCAGCCAGTACAGTCTGGCAAGGACTGGGGTGATCGGGGAGCGGAGTTTGGTGCGGGTGAGAATGCGGGCGGCAGAATTTTGAATGATCTGGATTTTATGGATGGTAGTGGATGGGAGACCGGTGAGGAGGGCATTAGAATAGTCCAGCCGAGAGGTGACAAAGGTATGGACTAAGGTTTTAGTGGCTTTCGGAGAGAGGTATTTGCAGAGGTGGAAGAAGGCGGTGCTGATGAGGGACCGGATGTGGGGGAGGAAGGATAATTGGGGGTCGAACCTGATGCCAAGGTTGCAAACGGGTTCGGAGAGTTTTAGGGGGAGGTCGGGTTGGTGGAGGAGGTGAGAGCCGTGAGATTTTAGACGTTGACGAGAGCCAAAGAGTATGGCTTCCATCTTGTTAACATTCAGCTGAAGGAAATTTGCGCTTATCCAGCCCCTGAGATCTGACAAGCAGGCTGACAGAACATCAGAGGACTGGGGGTCGCAAAGAGAGATGAAAAAATTGAGTTGGGTGTCGTCTGTGTACATGTGGAAATGTACCCCATGTCTGCGGATGAAATCCCCTGATGTAGATCAGAAAGAGGAGGGGGCCAAGGATGGATCTTTGGGGTACTCCGCAGGTAACTGAGTGAGAGCGGGAGGAAAAGCCGTTTGTGCAGATGTACTGCTAGCAGTTTGTGAGGTAGGATTCGAACCAGGCGAGTACGGTCCCACTGAGGTGGATGACGGAGGAAGGGCGGTGGAGGAGGATGGCGTGATCTGACTGTGTCGAACGCCGCAGAGAAGTCTAGGAGGACAAGGAGGCAGAGGGAGCCCTGGTCACAGATAGAGAGGATGTTGTTCGTGAACTTTCACAAGCACAGTCTCTGTACTGTGGGCAGGGCAGAAGCCGGATTGGAGAGGTTCGAATAGGGAGTGTATGCTATGTAGTGACACCAGCCTCTCCTCAAGCTCAAAATTCTGAGCTCATCTCGAGCAGCCAGAGGCACTTCCTCCACACGTGTGTGTCCAGCGCACACAAAGTATCCTGGAGTTCCCGCATGAGCATGCAATAGGTCTCAGCTGCCCTGCCATATTCCCAGACATGTTTTATATTATTTTAATATAACTTATATATTTGATAATTATGCACCTCTTTCCCCCTCTGCACTGAATTCCCACTCTCACCAAATTCCTTAACAGAATTATTACTCTTTTCCACCTCACTCAGTAAGTGAAATGTAAGAAAAACAATTGGGTCAGCAGTAAATTAAGCCACTAGTGATTTACCATATGTGTAATTGATGAAAATACGTAGTGTAACAGTACAGCAATTTGTTGCAAAAATTAAAATTAACTACAGCCCTTTCAATCCGCAGGAAGTGAGTGTTACCTTTATAAATATACTTTCAATATCAAAAGTACTTTTAAAATAACATTCTGCAATTCCCATTTAAAAAGTGATCCAAATGTTTATTGGACTAATCAGGGGTGAGGGGAGTGTGTGTGTGTGTGCGTGCGTAGGAGGGGGGAATAAAGGCAGATACTGAAGACAATCCAAGGCACTAACCTGTGTAAAGGGTGCTATATAAATTCAAGCAGTTGTTAAATTTATAGAATTTTTTTAAAAATGAAAATGGCTAGAAATTCATCCTTGGTTTCCAAATTATCACATATATATGTATAAAATCTCCCAATAGATGATGGACCAATTTAGATCTAAGCACCAATGTTGTGAATCTTTCTTGTACTGTGAATCTTTTCTTATGCTTGAACTTAATACCATGCTGTGAAATTAGCTTGTCAAAGGCTTAATACAATTATATTTCTGTGTTTCTAATAAACTATCCGAATGTAATTAAACTAATCCTAATTAAAAGATCAGCACTTACCAAAACCGTCAATATCCAAGTCGTTATTAACGACTACATCTAATAAAGAATCTTCAAGATTTCCTTCAGCCGTAAGCTTCATTCCATCTCGGTTAATAAAATAAATCGTCACTTTATCATTTGAACTGCAAAAGGAGAACAGATATAAAATGGATGAGTTTGACTGGATACTGAAATGAAAAACCTATCCTATTGACACCAGAAACTTCCATCACATTTTGACCGAAAGGAATTTATGGAATACTAAAACACAGAACACTTCACTCAAAAAAACAGCATTGAGCAATATTTTATAAACTTTGACATACCAAATAATTGCAGAATTCTGAAAGTAATTTAAAAATTGGTATCGCCATCCATCTGATAATAGCATTTTTGATGTTGGGAGAACATCTCAAAGCATTTCACAGATTATACTGTAACATGTAGTGATTATGTATTTTTTGTAGGCATACCGGCAGCCAATTTACACACAATAACAAAATTATGTTTCTAAAGCGCCTTTCACGTCGGGAGGATGTCCCAAGGCGCTGGACAGAAAGAGTTATGGACCCGAGCTAGGGGTTGGGGAAGGTGGAGGGTGGTTGGAGGGGGAGAAGCATGGAGATCGCAAGCACGGTTGAAGATGAGGGTCTTGAGATGTGTCTTGAAGGAGGAAAGAGAGGGGGCGAGGGAGGGACAGCGGGATGGAGATCAAGAGGGTGGGGACAGAGTGACAGAACGCCCGCCTGCCAATAGTGGGGTGAGCGAGGCAGGGGACATGAAGCAGGCTGGAGCCCACTGAGCGGAGGGAGTGAGCGGGATGGTAGAGGGTTAGGAGGTCGCAGAGATAGGGAGGAACAAGACCGTGGAGGGCTTTGCAGGTGAGGACCAGGATCTTGAACTATATGATGAGAAGCCAGTGGAGTTGGGCAAGGGTGGGGGTGATAGGGTCACGGAGCCTAGTGCGGGAGTGGACATAGGCTGCAGAGTTCTGGATGATCTGCAGCCTGTGGAGGGAGGAGTTGGGGAAGCTGACAAGCAATGCGTTTCCATAGTCGAGCCTCAATGTAATGAACGCGTATATGAAGGTTTCGGCGGCCTGCGGTGTGAGACAGTGTGGAACTGGGCGACGTTGCGGAGGTGGGGGAAGGCAGAGCGCATCATGGCGCAGATGTGGGATAGAAAGATTAGCTGAGAGTCAAACAATACCCTAAGGTTCCGGACTGGCTTAGAAAGGTGGAGTGTGCAACCATAGATGGTGAGGAGGCGCTGACGGGAGCCACTCAGGAGAGCCTCGGTCTTGTTGATGTTCAACTGAAGAAAGTTAGCTCTCATCCAGGACTTGATGTCGGGAGCAGAGTCAGGAGAGCGCGGGGCGGAGCCGAGGCCTAGCTGTGTATAAAGCACAGCCAGGTGAGGAGCCACTCAGTCGGGAGCGGAGACAGGAGAGCTGAGGTAAGTGAGGGGGCGGGAGGGGGCACAATTCACAAAGTGACGTCGGCGTGACTTCATAGTTAAAAAAAATACCACCACCAACAGCAACAAAAATGGCCTGGCAGCCGCTGCCATCCCAGCCATGACCTGGGAGGCTGAGCCTGAGGGCTGATGCCGTCCCGCTGATCGCTCGCTCCCGGTCTCTGCGTGCGCATTTTGGCTGCCACCCCGACCCGAGCCTCCCCTTCCACTCCAAATGTCTCTCCTCCTCTCGATCACGCCATCCTCCTCCACCGCCTTTCCTCCGTTATCCACCTCAGTGGGACCGCACTCGCCTGGTTCGAGTCCTACCTCACAAACCGCCAGCAGTACATCTGCACAAACGGCTTCTCCTCCTGCTCTCACCCGGTTACCTGCGGTGTACCCCAAGGATCCATCGTTGACCCCCTCCTCTTTCTGATCTATGTGCTCCCTCTTAGGGATGTCATCCGCAGACATGGGGTACATTTCCACATGTATGCAGACGACATCCAACTCTATTTTTCCACCTCTGTTTGCGACCCCCAGTCCCCTGATGTTCTGTCAGCCTGCCTGTCAGATCTCAGGGACTGGATGAGCACAAATTTCCTTCAGCTGAACATTGACAAGACGGAAGCCGTACGCTTTGGCCCTCGTCAGCGTCTAAAATCTCACGACTCTCACCTCCTCCACCAACCCGACCTCCCCCTAAAACTCTCCGAACCGTACACAACCTAGGTGTCAGGTTCAACCCCAATTATCCTTCCTCCCTCATATCCAGTCCCTCACCAGCACCGCCTTCTTCCACCTCCGACTCATCGCCCGCCTCCGCAAATACCTCTCTCCAAAAGCCGCTGAAACCTTAGTCTGTGCCTTTGCCACCTCTCGGCTAATTATTCTAACGCCCTCCTCGCCGGTCTCCCCTCCACTACCTCCATAAAATCCAGCTCATTCAAAACTCTGCCGCCTGCATTCTCACCCGCACCAAACTCCACTCCCCAATTACCCCAGTCCTTGCCAAACTGCATTGGCTGCTTGTCCCAGAGAGGATCGACTTCAAGATCCTCACCCTTGTATTCAAATCCCTCCACTCCTCTGCACCCCCCTCTCTGACCTCCTCTCTCCTCAAAACAGTACCCATTCCCTTTGTTCCTCTGGTTCTGGCCTCTTCCTCGTCCCGAGTCCTCCGCTCCACCCTGGGCGGCCGTGCCTTCAGCCACTGTGCCCTGAGGCTCTGGAATTCCCTTTCTCACTGCCTTCACCTCGCTCCGTCTCTTCCTATTTTCAGGTCCCTGCTGAAGACCTTTCTCTTCGACTGTGCCTTTGGTCACCTTCCTCCCCATCCCCTGGCTCGGCACCAGGATCCGTTACTGTAAAGCTAGTTTGACTAGTTCACATTTGTACCTCTCACACCGGCTCCACTTCATCTTCACAAATGACTTCTTCTCTAGCCCGCGGAAAGTCTTGTGCAGCAGGGCTCTGTCCTTGGTACCCTCCTCTTCAATATCTATAGGCTCCCTCTTGATGACATCAGCCCCGGAATGGGGTCAACTTCCACAAGTATGTTGATGACACCTAACTCTACTTCTCTGCCTCCATCCTTGACTCCAGGACCACTGCTACCCTGACAGAATGCCTGTAGGACATCAAGTCCTGGATGAGAGCTAAGTTTCTTCAGTTGAACGTCAAGACCGAGACCCTACCGTTTGGCTCCCGTCAGTGCTTCCTCACCTCAGACGCTGACAGCATCACCATCCATGGTTGCACATTCCACCTTACTAAGCCAGGCCAGAACTTTGGTGACTTGTTTGACCGTCAACCATCCTTTCTACCCCCAAATCTGAGCCATGACCCACTCTGCCTTCCCCACCCCCATCCTCACACAGAGGATACAATTCAAGATCCTGGACCTCACCTTCAAAGCCCTCCATGGTCTTGCTACCCGCTATCTCTGCGACCTCCTAGCCCCCTACCATCCTGCTCGCTTCCTCCATTTAGCAGGCTCCAGCCTGCTTCATGTCCCCCACCTCGCTCGCCCCATTACTGGCGAGCGGACATTCTGCCACTCTGCCCCCACCCTCTAGAACTCCATTCCGCAGTCCCTCTACCCCGTCCCTTCCCTTGTCTCCTTCAAGACCCATATCAAGACCTTCCTCTTCGACCGTGCTTTCAATCTCCCTGCTTCCCCCCTACCCTCTACGCTCCCCAACCCCGACCGCAGCTCAGGTCCGAAACTCTGTCTGTCCAGCACCTTGGGACTTCCTCCTGACGTGAAAGGCGCTATACAAATGTCATTTTGTTGTTGGAAGTATTTTGCCAGATTCCTGAGTTTGAAGTCTGTTCGTGAAACGTCAGATCTTTGAAGTTCCTTCATTCCAAGCTATGCAGTGAAGTAAATCTCAATGTCTAGTGTGAAATCACCAGCCCCGGAGTGAGACACAGTTACAATTCAAACATAGCACACTGGCATCAATGTAGGCTATTGGTACAGTATATGGAAATTAAATACAACTTGGAGGAATAAAAATTTGGCCCCATTTCATAGTACAGTACAAATGCAACTTGAAACTAAAAAGGAACAAATCTGCATTACATTTAGATTGTACAATATTCAAATAATGCATTAATCAGGTATGTGAAACAACTAGACATAAAAGTACTAGTTCCTTAGGGACAGGCGTGCAACTATATTCTACATTAGAGAATACAACTGTGAAGGAGAGATGAAGCCTGTCTAAATAGAAAATGTTAACTGAAGTGCTCAAGTCTTACAAAATTGGTGTAATCAAATTGTTACAATAATTTACAATAAGTACACAAATAAATATGCAATGTGTTGGGAAATATTTTTGCATTGGTAACATACAATAAGTGTAAAAGTGTTCCAGTAGTTTTAGCTCATCATTCACACTAGTTACCTTCCTAATTATTAACAGCTGGTGTTTTATTTTTTAATAATGTAATCGTTTTGGTATTTAGTTGCATAAATGTCCCAAATAAAATCGTCCATTCACTTCATGGCTGTGTGTGAGACACTGCTGCCCACAAATTGGCTGCTGCGCACAAATTGGCTGCTGCGTTCACCGTCAAAATTCGGTCCTGCTCGAGACAGGAGTGAAAAGGAGATCCACTAATTCTTTCTCTCACAGACCTCAAGACTACCAGACTCATCAACCCTCACAAAATCTGCCTGTGTTTTTACCTCCACTCCGCAAAAAAAGTTTAATAATAATCCTTGCATTCGATATCTTATCACATCTTTGGGATGTCTCAAAGAGCTTCACAAAATATTCTGTAAAGTGAATTGACTGCATATTTTGGTGGGGAAATACCAAACGCTTCTTGGGTTCATCTCTGCCGTTCTTTTCCCAAACTTGGTGGCACATTTCATTAAATGCTTAAAATACTCCATGAAATAGCATATTTAATGGTTTTGCTGCCCCCTTAAGATGAAGATGTAATGTTGCATTCTAATGTACTCTAAATGGAATAATTTGAAAGGGATTAATGTTAATGTTAAGTTTCAATCAGTTTATTTATATCATTTATATTATTGTCAGCAAGAAATCTTGATAAGCGAATACAATGGAAATAATTATTCGTAGAAATAGAAGGCGCTTTTAGATGCATTGTCATTCAAAGTGAAAAACTTCCCACCCCACCAAATGCAAATTGGCGTGGGGCGGGGCGG